GTTTATTTATTTGTTTATTTATTTGTTTATTTATTTTCTTGATTGCTCTTGAATTTTTGTTTGTAAAGGAAAGTTACAAACAATTTTTTTTTATCCTTATACACCTCTTTCAGGTCTGTCTTTCATTTTTTTCTAAGAAAGTACGGTCACTGTACGTTTGGGCACAGCTCCAGCTTCATTAATCCTGAAATGACTTTCATGCTATTTCTACTTTCAGGAGTTTCTCAAAAAAATCCTGCAGTAACAATTTGGGGAGGCTATTGATGTTGAAGATGCCTAGTTTCTTTTCATAAACGTTTGGTTCCTGACATTTCCTCAGAAACGGAAACATTAAAAAAAATATATGAAAAACGTCTCTTGTAGATTTGCCTCAACACCTGGCAACACTACACACTATTTGGGGCCCCTGCGTTACCTGAACAAGTTTAATTATAAGCCAGATTCAAATGTTGGAAATTGCCTTTCGCAACTCCCACTAGCCCTTTTTTTTAACAAGTGACTAAAAAAGTCGCTGTGGCTTTAAGAAAGACCTAGAAATGATGCTAACTGGATGTAGCGAGTTTGCTTATGAAACGCCGTGAGTGGAACAGGGACTACAGTACTGCGTTCGAGGCAAAAAGTTGATGCAACGATGTTCGAGAAGTTTTCTCTTCCAAGTCCACTGACGATGCTGATTTTTCTCTTGCAGCGATGCCTGCAACTTCTTGTGCTGCTCATCTCTGTGCTTTCCTACCTGGACCTATGGGATCCTATTTGTAAAAAATCTTTTCCACATCTCATGAAGAGGTTTAGTAAACTGTACAATGGAAGAATGCACAAGGAAAAGGAGACGTTGTTCAGGAACATGAAGGACTTTGCCGATCCCTCAGGAAAGCTCCACCTGCTAGAGATTGGCGTAGGCACAGGAACCAACTTCAAGTTTTACCCCTCAGGCTCTCGGGTAACCTGCGTGGACTACAATCCCAACTTTGAAAAATTCCTGCTGGAGAGCATGGCGAAGAACACGCACCTCGAGTTTGAGAACTTTGTGGTGACCTCCGCCGAGGACCTCTCTTCT